ATTAATTTTATCATTATTTTCCTTTAATTTATTTAATTAAATAAAAAATACAACCTTTTTTAATTTTATCATTATTTTCCTTTAATTTATTTAATTAAATAAAAAATACAACCTTTTTCTCTTTTTTTTTTCATCTCTTTTAATCTATTCAAATAAAATTAATTTTAATTCTTTATTCTTTCCTTTTCCTCCCTTTTTTTTTTATTTCCTTTATTAATTTAGGTTTTTCTAATTTGTTCTTTTAGGGTATAAGTTAAGAGTTTTTAAAAAATAAATATTGATATTTAATTTATCATTTTTTAATTAAATTAATATTAATTTTTATATTTTTTATATCTATTTATAATAAAAAAAAAGACACTTTTAATTTGCACTCTGATGGCACAAAAAAAAAAAATCCTATTAATTTTGCTCCAAATACATCCAAAATGTCAAAGCTTATCTCAAGAGATCCTCACAATAAATATAAAGAAAAAGCGGTGAGGGTAATAATGTCATTCGGGAGGAACGATAATTCCAACCTAAAAAAAGGAGTGGAAAAATCAAGTATCAACTGTACACACACGACACGTCATTACAAAATAAGAAAAAGTAGTGTCCTTACCTTAATTATTCCGTCCCCGCTATAAATTCATTTGCCGGAAAAATAAAGAAGAACGCTGGGCATCGCATCACTTTGTCGGGAAACTGTAAGTGCTTCAATTTGTTTCCGGCATGATCTAGGTTAGGGATGTTTGGGATTATTGAAATCGTCGATTTTTATGCAACGGATTGGTTTTTTTGATTTTTACTAGTTGAAGTTAATTAGAAAGAAGGATTGGAAATTGGTTAGGTTTTAAGCTTGCATTGTTTCATCATCTGATTTTAGGTTGTAATTTACGTCGTGATTGATGTTGCCCTAAGCTTGTGTTTGGTTGCTGGGAAAACTGACGAAAGACTGAGAAAATTGAATATTCGTTGCTTGTTTTTTTGTTTTACAAAATCGTTATTTATTTATTTATTTATTTTTTGTTGGCCCCAGCTGAATTTCCCTTCTCGCCTTTATCTTTTTCTCATCAAAACTCAAGGTCTCCTGAAATTTACAGTCTTTAATGGATCAACAGGATAAGTTCGCCTTTTTTTCTTGATTTTTCCTTTAAAAATTATACTTTAAATTGAATTTCTGATGATTTAGTTTTGCTTTTCTACTAAATACATGTTTCTATAATTTTAGGATTTACAGAGATTGTTAGCTAAGTGAAAAGTGGAAACTTCGTGTTTGATTTATTATTGCAATTGTAAATGTGGGTTTATATTGAAGTTGATTGATATGTTGATGAAACAGGATATAGAAGGGAGCGGGGAAAACTAGTGGAGATGGGTTGCAGAGGGTGCTTGCAATGCTTGTTGAAGCTCTTGAACCTTTTGCTTGCTCTTGTGGGTTTGGCCATGGTTGGTTATGGGATATACTTGTTTGTTGAGTACAAAAGAGCTGCTGATACAACCTTGTTGTTGTCATCAGTAGTGCCTGTTGGTCCATCTTCAATACAGCTTGGACGGCCCATGCTCATGGCCGAGTCTCTGGGGAGCATTTGGGATAACCTTCCAAAAGCATGGTATGCTTACTCTTCATTTTCCCTATAATTCATTTCATATTTCTGATTCTTTAGCTAGTCTAGGCATGTTTCTAACTTTTTGAATGTAAAGTCTGGCTAGATGAAATTGGTGATGATGACTTTGTCTGAACTTGGTTCACAGTTCAGATTAGAAGTCCTCTTGGTTCCAGAAAAGAATCAAGTGAAAAATATTAGGAGGGAGCTAAATTTGGGAAAATTCATTTCTCTTCTGTCATTCATTTTGAAGAATTAATGAAGACTCAGAAATTAAAATTTGTCTATGTTGTAGTCTGAGTGAATTATGTGCTCAAGGCCTATAAGACTTGCTGTTGGATTATTCTGCCTTTGGTACCTGGAACTTGAAGGCTTATTAATCAGTCATTTGGAAGGGTAACTGATTCCCTTGTAGGCTTGATATTTTCAGGAAAAAAGTGTCATGATCATGATTTAAGCATGCATATTTCCAGCTTGATGTTTATGATGACCCATGACCATTCTGTGGATCAAAGATTTTTTATATGTATATTGTGGAACTACTCTGAAATCAAGTTTGCTTGGCTAATTTCGGGTAGAGATTGGTTTGATCTGGATCCAAAATGAAGTCATTGAAGTGAAGCTTGAGAAACAACATTCGGTGTTGGTTTGGCAGCTCCATCTTGTTCCTAACTCATGAAACAAGAGAGAGTCATTTACTTTTTGATGGTCATATTTGTTGCTGAATGAGCCTATTGGTTAATGAGTTTTTATGGAGACTCAAATTCTTTGTTTGACTAGAATCCTGGAACAATGTGCTTGCTGTGTTGCGTTTGAATTGCCCAATTCTAAATTTTGACCGTCTTTGCAGGTTCATATACTTATTTATTGGTGTAGGAGTGGTTCTCTTCGTCATCTCATGTTTTGGTTGTATTGGAGTTGTAACACGGAACAGCTGCTGCTTGTGTTGTGTATCCTAATTCTTTGTGCAATGGTTTTTATAATATCTCTCTTTTTTGCCAAAGCATTTCTAAGTGGCAAATAGTAATGCTGTGTTGACATGCAGATTTTATCCTGCATAAGCATGTTAATGACATTCTTCATTTTTATTGTTTTAAAATAATTTAGCGCTAAAAGGTAGAAATTTGTATATCCTCCATCCATCTCCTTTTATGTGCTGTTGATTGGCTTCCTTAAGTCCACATAGTATTCTGTCTTAGTGATCTTGTTGATCTTGGTTGAGGTGGGATGTGCAGCTTTCATATTCTTTGACAAAAGCTGGAAGTCTGTAAGTTTTCTCCCCTTTTGTTTCTTGTTCCCAGTGATGATATTGTGTTTATAATCCTATAATTGTATGCTTTTGCTCTAGGAACTTCCAACTGACAAGACTGGAGATTTTGACATGATATATGAGTTTTTGAAAGAACACTGGCATATTGTTAGATGGGTGGCTCTTGCGGCTGTAGTTCTGGAGGTAAGCATCATGTTATGGAATCGGTAGCTTTGAGGAGTTAGAGATAAGTTACAGCAAATAAATGCTGAGAATGCCTGAGATGGACTGCTTTTTTTACCTTTTTTTCTAAACTCTCTCCCTAACTGTGCTTTCTTTGTGTCAGTAGCTGCCCTTGATGTTGAGCAATCTAGATTTATAATGATTTTTTTAAAATTGCTCTTTACTGATGAATCAATTTAAAATTGCAGGCTTTGATTTTCTTCTTAGCCATTGTGGTGAGGGCCGCCAACAGACCTGCCAATTATGACAGCGATGATGAACTCATTGCACCACGACAACAAATCAGGCAGCCCTTGATTAACAGGCCCCCAGTTCCAGCCCCAGGTGTGCCTGTTGCTGGCAGCCTTGATCAACGGCCCAGCAGAAATGATGCTTGGAGTGCACGCATGAGGGAAAGGGTGCCTTTCTATTCTCAGTACCTTTAATCTTATAGAGACATCGTTTTCCCCCTATGTTAATGCTGTACATTTTTTTTTAATGTATGTAAAACAGTATGGGCTGGACACTTCGGAGTTCACATACAATCCATCAGATCCACAGAGGCAACAGCAAGTGGCCACACAACCAGCAGAAGAGAGGAGCCGCTGCACCATCCTGTGAGGAAATTCTGGGTTTAACATAAAAACTGGTTTGCTTCTGGAGCAATGGCATCCCAGCTTTGATATTTCTCAGATGCCGGTCTACTTTTCATTAAGTTTGTGTACATTACACCCATTTTTCAGGAGCTTTACTTGTTCCCCATCCCCTTTCCTATGACATCCTTAGAAAACAAATGCTTCTGTTAAATGCATCACCATTTTGTGTGTAAAATTGCAGTGTCACTAGGGTATCTTGTGAAGTTTGAGCTGAGCCTAACTGCTCATGTCTTTGAAATCTCTCACTGAATTGAGTCTCTCGGCATGGGACATAAGTTTTGACAAAACTTGTCTGCTTTCTGCTTGCTTTATGTTGCATTAGTCTCGTAATGGATTAGAGAAATTTCACGAGGAATTTCTACTTCCTCGCAACCTCTAAAGGGGATTGAACCTTGAGAAATCATATACTAGTATTTTTATACACTTGTTTGCAATTTGATTGAAGTTTACGTTGTGATAGATTGGGGAATTATTTTGAAGAGCATTTACCTTAGTTACTGAAAGAGATTAGTAGAGTAAACCGCTGCCCTTTGATTTTTAAATCAGACGTTTGCTACTAAGCGCCCATCATTTTCTCTGGTCCTCTTTTTAAGTGTTTTTCAATGGTGTCATCCCTATCCTAGTTCTAGCATGCACTTATTCTTTTCTGTGGTCCCAATTCCATCTGTAAAATGGAAAATGACTTCAAATGCTCCTATTTTTCTATGCTTTGAGAAGGACCATTTCTTGGAGCATTAGTGCAGGTTTATTTGTGTTTGTTTTGGTATTTTTAGCACTTGCATATGTATTGGCATTCCAATGAATCAAATCATGGTAGTGGATTTTTGTGATGCATTTCATGACCCAACAACTGCCTCCTTGATTGGTTCTTTATTGAATTTAAAGTCATCTTCAACTCACAAGTAAATCTACCCATTTATATATATATATACGCAAGTGGTTTTGCTCTTTTTATTGGCAAATGTTCAATTTTGAGAAATTATTTCTTTCTTAGATCCTGAAGTTTGGACAGATATGGTTTGATTTTTTGGTCGGACCAAAAAGACGAACATTACATCGTTGTCTTGTAAGAAACATGAGAATATGAATTACGATTCTATTGTAGATCTTGAGTTTGAACTTGAAGGGAGGGTCTAGAAAAGAGAAAATCTGTCCAATTTGTCAACTGACATGCAGCCAACCTTGAACTTCCCATCCAATTTGTGAACTGATATTTCAGGCCTTCTTTCTTCAAGTAATTTTATTGGATAAAATGGTCGGCAAAAGTGTCGAGGAAAAAAAAATTAAAACCAAGTCAAGGAAGTTTGCTTCTAATATTTGAGAAATTTTCATTCAACTTTTCTAGCAAGAACTTGCCAAATGAGTCCTAATTGAGAAAAGTTGTATGGAAGTGTTTACCACCGGCCAAATGAAGTAGGAATAAGAATTCTCATTAAGGTTGCATCTGGTATTGGGTCCCTTACTAGGAAAACTTAGGGATTTATTTATAATATTTTTACACTTTAATATTACTCTTAATATTACTCCATCCATAATGAAATGAAAAAAAATAAAATTTGCCTTTCCCTAAAAAAATTAAAAAATTTTCCTTTTGCATTTTTTTAAAAGTAAAGCTTTCCTTTTACTATCTCAAAATAAGATGCACTAAAAAACTTTTTTCCCAAACTCTTCTAATATCAATTTTCTACTAAAATTGTAAAAGTTACTATTTTTCGTGTACTTTCCTAACACTTTCGGTATGTGGAGTAGTAAACTTCCCTCTCTCAAACCAAACATGCCTAAGAATCGGATGAAATGAATAACAGAAATGAGCTAAACCACAAACTTATTGAAGTGCATGGATACCAAACTGTCTCAGGTGAACCTTCATACATGGGGTGGGAAAACTTTGCTGATACCAAACACAGCCTTATGGCTGACAAAGAAACACTGCTTTAATTTTTCATGTTGCCTGGTTGCTGCCATGTGAGTTCCGTAAATGGTTACCTTTTTTCCCACCTTATGCCGATGATTTTAATGTTCTTATGAGCTGTTGAAATGAATGTCTTGTCACTGTACATAATCAATTCACCTCCATCTTCTCACATGCCTACCCCCCACTTTTTTTTTTCCTCTAGAACCCTTCAT